AATGGTTGCTTGTTGTTACAACATACCACTCGCATATATTAGCTACAGGTTTGTGGCCTATTTTTGACGGGCACAAGTATTGCCTTGCGAGTTAACGCATGCATATACTTGGGTTGGCCATGTAACATATCTCGACATAGTTCTATCTATGTCTGCTGTTGTCGCGATCAGGGTTGTTGTTCGATTCGATGTCGTTTCTATCGTCGTATTCTTTTTCAGTCTTGCAAGTATATCAGTCCAGTACAGATATTGAAGTGATGGCTAGCGCATACATACCGCTGGGTTGGCAATGCATCATAGCTGGGCGTAGTGGAAGCTATCTGCAAACCTATGTTGCAAACGCATATCTCGTACGCCTGCTGTTTCTATGCTTGCGTGCTGTTGAGCGATCGGATATCGGTCGGTTGTATCGTATAGTCGTCATCTCCAGTTGGATTATGCATGATCAATGGCTATTATCATAGTACACACATGTGCGCTGGTGTGCTCATTCGGAGTTAAAATCCTAACAGGTGCTACACAAATGTCAACCATTGGCCTCTTCACCTGCCCGAGTCACAAAGTATGCACCGCAAGTCCCCCAACCTTTTACGGGCGATGGCAGTAAAGGACGACAGTAGCTGGAGGTTGCAAATAGCTTCCAACATCGACATTCCTGTTGATCAACGTACATAGCAGTTAAGTATACGGCACAGTATGCTAGCGAACCTCATCACACCAGGTATGGGCAACACGCTACAATATTGCCCAAGGGAAGCACTGCAAAGCACACTCACCACGAGTTGCTACCTGGTGGCTGCGTAACACCTGTTATTATTGACTCACGGCGCCATATGGTTATGTATATACCGAGTGCTGCTCTAGCAGTTCCCAGTATTGTACTCCCTACTGTCGGTGCTTTCATTGGGAGCAAATTACCTCAAGGACTTGATACCAATGACGGGGTGTAAGGTGAAAATCGAGAAGAATTCGAAGACAGATCCTTGACCAAAAATAAGTTTCTGTACTTGGATATAGGAATCGAATGTGTTGCATCACGTCCCGTTCTTAAGGGAAAATGGGGATGTTCATTGTCGCCTTGAAACCACACAAACTAAGACTTGTACGAGTCGATTTTCCATGAGTCGACTTTGCTACGCTCTCACCACAGGATATCCATATGATATGTCTAGATTAATCATAATTCATTAATGTATTATACAAGTGCGTGGACGTCGAGGCATGCTGGAGTAACAATTGCATAATTGCTGGAATGGACCATACACTGCATCATATAGTCAATATACAGTAGGAGTTAGGCATGTACTTCAAATTTTATTGCGTTACAGTAGCAAAGAACCTTGTCCGGCAAGGTCACACATTCAGAAAGCTAGCACTCTCCAGCTGGCAATCCCGACCCACCAGGTCCATACATACCGAGTCAAGTATATATTGGTTGATGACACGTATATCACCAGGGGCTGACTCGAAGCTTCCTTGTCAGACTCGCGACGCTTTCCAAAACGGTACAAAATAAAGTTCAAGAACAGAATGCTTGAATCGCAAGTGTGTGGAATTGTTCATCACACACATAAGAGGCTCTCTGGTGGCTGTCAGGCTGCGTTGAAACGGTTTGATAATTTGTAGTTGTTACATTACGGGTTGAGGTTGTACATGTGTCTCTTGGAAGACAAACTACCAGTCGAATAGTATGTAAATTTCACGCGGTCGAGTATATGACGGAAACGGATGCGATGTTGCTCGTTTGAAACGACTTTATGGTGATGATTGACCGGGAATCACCGATATTCCGTGCTCTTCCCACGTTTCGATGGCGTCCTCAAAATCGGCGTGGTCAATCTGTTTTGGGATAGCATAACTCCATATATTACCAGTTGGGACAGATGATGATCTTACCAGCTCAACATGCGGTTTCCTTACCAAAATAAGAATAGAAACGGGGTCCAGCAGAAGTGAAAAGCATTCAAAAATAATACAATAACGTACCAATATGTAGTCCGTTAGAAACGTGCACAGGTAGCACACTGGTATATTTTCGTCTTGTAAAGAACGCACATAACTGTCGACTATACCAGCCTCCTCTGTGAGTATATAGAATGAACGATGCGACATATGTGGTATGAGCAGGACCCATCTGTGTTTTGAAAGAGTCAGTTGCAGTAGAGAACACATAAGGATTATTGAATTCTAATAAGTGACAATGGCAAGTATTGTACAACACTAAGGCGCTCATATAGAGAACATACCGTATCCGAGACCCAGATTTCCTTCACATCCAACGTGTACAACCCGAAAGCGAGATGAAGTAGCTAAACACTCACGAGGCAGTCGTTCCAGAACAATCGTTTCGCCCACTACCGTGACCTGGGGTCCGGGAGGGTTTGCGCAAGGCCGACGGTTTCAGTTCGGAAGTCAATTGCTTTGAACATACAGAGCCCTACAAGGGACAGGCAGATGTACCCAACGTAAAACTGGGGAGATATACAAGTACATCGAATACTATATATCATCAAAACTCAACTCGAAGTAACAACAGTATGTAACCACAGAGCGCGAATATACCTCGCTATCGACGAAGGAAACAGCAAAGAAATCGGACAGTTCATAAAACATGCTATTGATCAGTACGGGCAGAGCGTGAGCCAGGTCACTGACGGAATCGGCTTTCTGTATGCTGCAGTTGTCGTTCCGAGAACACAGAGGCAGCGGAAAGAGGGGAAAAGATTAAGTGTTTGTTAGTTGAAGGCAATTGGGACGAAAAACTATATCTTTATCTACCAATACCTGCCGCTATTTCGACTTATTCTATTGAATAATATAACTGTATAGCACTCCAGTCCTTTATCAGTAGTGACAGGGGGTCTTGAGCGCATATGTACTTTAAGATGGAACTTCATGGTATATAGTGAAACACTTACCATGCCATTCCCACTTCTAAATCATTGTTAATGAGAGGTCGAGGGGTCCCCATGGTTAGCGGCTCCGTATTCGGCGCCAGGTCGTCGTATCTGCAGTTGTAAATTATATATTAATTCATATCTGTTTGTTGACTTGGACGGGCAGGTGGTGAATAGTCAGCGGTGAAGTAAAACAAGCCCTTCGTCTACAAAAACACAGCAAGGTACGCCCAACTTCAAATCAACAACATTGAAAAGACTGTAAAGGGCTGAAAGAAATACAATCCCAGTACTCGAAAAAGTACTATACGTCTCATAGTACTGCATACCCGCTTGATTCTGTCTCACTCACATATTCCGTTTCTACGCTAGCGCAGCGTCGATCTCTCAACTTATACCCCAGAGCTTTGAAGAGGTTCATCACCATGTCCACTTTAGATTTCTGGACTAGGAGATAGTCCGTTTCGTATGTGGAGGCATAGAAGACCGTCACCGACGCCAAGTGCCTAACGCTTGCTAAAAGAACATCCCCCGATCCACCCGATGCTCCAGCTACGACCGTTATCGCACACCACTCATCTGGAAAGAGTGTGATACCCTCCTTTGGTTGTTCGGGCTCGGTCGACTCGGGGCTCGACGTCTGTTCACCATCCGCGAGAGGTTCCGTGCCGGCTGGCGGTGAGTTTGTGATGGGTAAGTTGACGCTATCATCAAACATCACGGTCACCTCGTCTTCGGTGTAGACACTGATGAAAAGCGTGAAGTTTATAGATTGTAAAAGCAAAAATCAGTATGTGACACGATGTTTTACGATTGAACAATTCAGAAGTGACAACTAGGCACTTGTTGACATATATATATAAGCATCATTCGAAGAGCCCAGGTCTGTGTTGTGCTATCCTGGCCTTTAAGTTTTACTTGCGATGACGGAATGCGCAGTAGATTCTACATTGCCTAGAAACAACGAATAGTTCCAAGAAAAGAATAGCGATATAATTTTGTCGCGAAAGATATACAAGAAGAGCGCAGATGTTAATATCCAACGCCTAAATCATTCAAATCAAAAATGACCGAAATCGAGTGAAATTTAATACACTCGTGTCATTACGTTGCATATAACCCTGGGGCTGTCATAAAACTGGCGGTAGGTCTCACTTTAACTGACGTGAAATGTGATTTGCAAGAAGATTCAATAAAACGGTCAATATGTAGAACCTTGCGCCGAGAGCATTTTGTTGCCTCATTGACAAGCCCAACTTCAACACAGGGGCAAAAGAAATTTGGTCCGAGCATATTCACAGCAAACAAATGGTCTTGCCAGGATCGTGCACGATATCTAAAAACCCATTTGAAATATGCGTTGTAATTTACGTGATTATATGTGCATACGCATCTATTCCCCCCCCCACTTTCTTTTCAATTAAAAGCTATATACAATAGATACCCGTTCATATAGATCTCACTTATATAAGTTTATGATCTGACGATATACAGCTAGATCATCGATAAGATGCCCATATATATACATTATGTTTACACCACACTCTAAATTTATTATATAAATGTATAATATACATATACATACACATATAAATATATATACATATACATACACACACACATATATATATATATATAATATATAGCTTAATAATAATAGTAATAATAATAAAAGAATAATAGGAATGATAGTAATAATGATAGTATATATACATATATATATATATATATATATATATATTGGATACATTGTATAAACAAATATACGTAGATGTACGCATTTGCCTGCATTGTTGCATATGATTTTGTGTGTAGATTAATATGTATACTAAATTAACATTCTAATAAAGTTATCAGATCGGTTCACCACTCGTAGTCCTTGAGCATCATGTTTTATATAGATATATTCATTCACTTATTCAGTTGCGGTAGAGTATAAGCACACAAAATGCAAACAGCGATATCAAAGAGTGGAGACAACTTCTGCTCGCCGTGAAAGTAATATTTTCTTGTTCAATACTAATTGAACACTGAATGGAGACAGATATAGTGTTTTATAAAAGGCTGCACTTAAGCATCCAGCAAAGCGACAACGAGCAAATTATTGTATTTAATCTAAAAGCCACGTACAGGTGTAAGAATTGCTTTTTAGGACCGCCGGGCAAAGAGGCATCCAAAACCACCTTAAGCAGAGCGTGGACATATTGCGGCATGCAGTTCTTTGGGAAACTTCCTATCCTTATAGAATTATGCATAAGATGTACCTCGACATTCTGCATACTAAGAATTCAGCGTGCTTAAATAGCGTATTATGGCTCCTGAATATGGATGGAGTGATATTATACGGCACAGGTCAGTGAGAGTAGAGTAATTATAAGGCACATTGACAGAGGTAGGTTGAAGATTCCACTGGACAAACTGCGGAAATTATGCTGAAGGGTAATCGGCAGCAGAGCAAAATAATTAGAGCGACTTACGTATTTCAACGAACGATATGCCGAAAATTTGATTTATGCCAAAAAAAAATCGACACACTTCCCACTTCCCAGTTTCCATCGGTACTTTTTTAAATACCTCTCTGACTCACACTCCACCAGACTCGACTCTCAGAGAGTTGCATAAGCAATTTTGTTTTTTTACAAAAACAGGGTTCAATTAGGGTTTTCTCTCATAGCCTTCTGAAAATTAAACATCTCTGCAGTAAACGTTTGACGTAAACGCAAAAGGACAAATCAAATTATATACGTTTTTTAAACGTAAAAAAGAATCTTCTCATCACTCGGGAATCGCACCTAAGAGTTGAACCTCCATAGACGTTCAACCTTAACGTAAACCCGATTGGGTTTAAAACGTATTCCATACAAAAACGAGAAATGTAAAATATCCAGAGAGGATAGTGAAGTCCCTATTCCCCAAAAAGAACCCTGAACTGACCTCTGTATTTGCAATTTAGCACTGAACGCTAAAACAGTGAACAGCTGGACCGGCCCCTAGTGAACACTGTGATATCTAGCAAATATGTACCAAATATATATAAAAGGAGCTCATAAATTTTGTACAAAAGCCAAAAATAGTGCTACATCTGTCCTCAGTCGCATAAGAATCTCATCATCACCTGGTTCAATACGGACGGAAAGCTATAATTGCAATAAGAAAGGAGATAGAGCCTCTCTATTTTCTCTATTCTTATCGGTAATAGGACGCTATGTCGAAACGAAGAAATAGTAGTTTGGCCTCTGTGGCCCTGCCTGGTTTGTCTGATGTGGGGACCTCAGAGACACTCACCTACGACATGAACCAGGAAAATCCAAATAAGGAGGTGTGTTACTGTATAATAGTTGGGTACTCTCCACAGCAATTTCTTTCTCGCTTGTTGTTGTACGACTTTTGTTAAAATCTCGAAGGCCTGTGTAAATAGAAACATATAGCCAACCTTTTAAATATCAAGTGATGGTATTCTATAGGGTAGCAATTGATTCGGTAATATTTTCTCCAGGAGTCTCGTTGTAACAGATTTCTGTACTGATAAATTTCATCTTGCAATTTACCAGTATGCTGAGAGTGGTGAAAGTACAGGATTGCTTTCCGGCGAGTCCGAGGATTTGTCATGGTACCAGGATATCATAAATACATGGACTCTTTCCTGGCCCATCTTCGGAACCTTCATGTTACAGGTGTGTCTTGTAGACAGAGAAGTTCGATGAAGCACTCACTCAAAAACTATGTAGAGCAATCAATCGCAAATGTTCTTCTTCTCCTTCATCTTCCTAATACTGAGACCTTATCGTTATGTCTGTTATTTCTAAGTGTACATCTTAATTTCCTGCATCATACCAAGCTAAGAATCATTTTTACGTTTGTAACACCAGGTTGGTCCCGGTATCACAAACATTATCTTCTTGGGACATCTGGAGCACGAGGCTCTTGGAGCAGGTACTCTGGCCACTATGTTTATCCAGATCACCGGTAATTCGATCGGCCAGGGTTTGGCCACAGCTATGGATACGCTTGCGTCACAGGCGTACGGTTCCGGACAAAAGAAGAAAGTGGGTGTAGTGTTGCAAAGAGGTCTTATCATCCTGAATTTGGCGTCGATTCCTATGCTTGCCATGTGGGTAAACACCGAGCGTATTTTGAATGCAGTGGGTCAGGATCCTAAGATCGCAAAGATGGCGGGTGATTTCGTCTGGTACTACACACCTGGATTGTGGGCTATGTTGTCATATGAACCGCTCAAAAAGTTTTTACAGGCACAGGGTATCGTTAAGCCAGGTGAGTATGCCACCGCACATTGAGTTGTCTGTTTTCGCTTATTTTATTTTTACCACTCGCCCACTTTCTGCATGCTTGTATTGTAATATTGTACTATCATCTTGAGACTTGTACATAACGTATGCTGGAATCGATATTATTTCTGAAGCTGACTTATAAGCAATTACGCTTGACTCCAGGTATGTACGTCGCTGCGTTCGCCAATGTCTGGAACATCTTCATGAATTGGCTTCTGATCTTTGGCTTCAACTGGGGATTCCTGGGTGCTCCCGTCGCGCGAATTACGACCCAGTGGATGATGGTGTTCTGTCTTTTGGGCTACATGAAGTTCACTGGTGCTGGCAAAGAGTGTTGGGATGGCTACAGTCCCGAATGTTGGCAGAAGTGGGGTCAATTTTTCAAACTGGCTATCCCGGGATGTCTGATGACCGCAGCCGAGGCCTGGGCTTTCGAGGCCATGACGCTTGCTGCCGGTTATATGGGTGCCGAATACTTGGCTGCGCAGTCTATTATCATGCAGTTCGCGATGTATACCATTCTACTTCCTTTCTCCATCGGTGTAGCTGGTACTATCCGCGTTGGTCAGTTCTTGGGTAAGGGAGATGCCAAGAGAGCCCGTCGCTCCGCTTGGGCTGCCACTATCCTGGCGGTCATATCCGCGGGTCTTGTGGCCGCGGCAATGATATCACTGCGTTACAAGCTGCCACGTGTATACTCCACGTGGGATAAAGCTATCGATATCGCGTCCACTATCATCCCCATTGTTGCATTTGAGGGAGTGTTCGATGCCGTGAATATCTGTGGTTCGGGTGTGTTCAGAGGTGCCGGTAAGCAGATGACTGGATTCTTCCTGAATCTGGTCGCCTACTACGTTATTGGCCTGCCTCTTGGTTTCTACATGGGTTTCGGACTGGGCTGGAAGGCCTATGGTATGTGGATGGGTATGCTCATTGCGCTTATGATTATTGCCGTAGTTGTCATTATCATTTTCTTCCGTATCGATTGGAATGAAGAGGTCGAAAACGCCCAGCGACGTATTGGGGACGATGGCGATGAGGCTCCAATCATTACTGGCCATTAAGTAGCTACAGCATTGTAGCTCTTGAGATCCAACATACAAATATTGAATGAACACTCGAGTAGAATTCAAAAATGCAGAGTCTCGATTCTGCAAGCACATATCAGAGGAAATAAAGTAACAAATGCAAAGCAACATGCGCAAAGACACTTTCATTATATCTGTTCACAAACTTTTGAGGACTCTTGAGTTCTCCGACCGTGAGCAAAATGTACACACTGCTATCTAATCACTAAAACAAAGCATCACTTAGTTCACGACTGTGCCTGAGATAGGAACTCTCTGATGTCTGCTACTACAGTTTCCAGAAAGTTGCTCTGGTAAATATTTAGTTGCGTCCTCAAAACAGCTGGAAAGGCGAAAATTGGCGTGGAACTCACTCGGTATTCATTGTATTTAGTAGACATGTCAACTTTAAGCATTGAAGGTAAGGTTGATGATGTTCTGCCCCAACTTTGCGTCTTCTAATATATTCCACAATTCCTAGCTCGTTACTAGTGAAGAAAAATGAGGGTTCTCCACAAATTTGTCCAGATCTTGCCAGAAAATTTTCGCAGCAGAGTTGTCAGACCATCTCTTTTTGGTATACACCTGTAACAATTTAAGGACAGAGATGAGTTACGTTACAGTCATCGTTCTTCATCATCAAAACTCTCAAATCACAATCTTAGAGCCCATACCAACGTAATAATCGAAGCAGATTTCAAATGATATGAGAGCTTACATTCAATACCGAAACAGCCCAATCTTGAAGAGGATCTTTCAATTGCGCATCATCCAAACGTAGGTAGACGCCTAAAATATTACGGAATACGTCTGTAGGATCGGTCCACGGCCAATCTAAAAGTGAAGAAGTCATAGATCAGCTTTAACCTCCCGTTTTTAAATACGTTAAGATTGAGCTATGCACTTTTACACATACATATTTACTAAATTGAAGGTGATCGAACCATATCCAGCTGTAAGGGCGAATTCTAACAAGAAAATGGCACAGAAGCGCGTACACAGTGGCGCGAAAGGGACTCAGCCGAACTTGGAATGGATTTTACTTACTTTTAAACTGCCATTTCTGACCTTGAACGAACACGGCAACGACCCGTTGCCATTCATATTTCGTGAAGTCAGAGGTTTTGTCGTACACGTGGTAGACGACTCTTCTGTCACCGATTTTCCTGTAACGCGGTATATCACAGTGAGAACAAGGAAATGTGTACCAAAGATTGCTTCTAGTGGTCGGCGAGACACGCTCAAGCTGCGCAGGGAATGAACACCCACTTTGTGTAATACCTATACCAATACGCTACCTGCATGTGCAACCCATTCCCCTGGATAGACATGATTGCAGATAGGGTGGGCTAGTACCATGTACAACGGCCCAAACCTTCAAACCTCATGCCCTACATCTCACATATATCAATTAAGACCACTTATACACGGTTGTACCAACTCACCTTCTGATTTGTACGGATGGGGGATGCTTGCCCTTAGCTTCCATCTTCCTTTTGGCACTGCTCTCAAACACGGCATTCTCCAGGAAATCCGCGGCATTCCATATACTCATGTGGAACGACGGAGCGTTTGGGACGATAATGATTGGTATGTGCGCGTCTCGTTTCTGCTTCTCCGTCATCACAGACCCGTGCGACGCCTTCTCTGCGGGTCCACCATTCGCCTCATGCCTGGAGGCGTGTGACGAGTCCAGCTTGACTCGTTTATTGGACAAAAACCCACCCGTGGTATCCAGGTCGAAGTCACCTGCACGCACACCCTTGTCTTCCCAGAACCTTTTCTCCTTCTGTACTTCGTACCGATTGTAGGCCAAGGTTCTCTTGCCCGTGCGATCAGTATATCCAGCACTGTTCTTCTCTCGCTCATGCTTTTCTTTGGCGAGCTTTGCTGCTTTCTCCTTGTTATAAGTGGCAACTAAAATCTGCAGGCGCAACGGTATATTAGTTAGTAAGTGTTTAAATAGGTGCTGCTACCCATCCATACAAAATTAGTTAGTAAGTGTTTAAATAGGTGATGCTACCCATCCATACAAAAGTAGTTAGTGAGTGTTTGAATAGGTGCTGCTATCCATCCATATAAAAATAGTTAGTAAGTATTTAATTAGGTGCTGCTACCCATCCATACGAAAGTAGAGTTTACCCAGAGTTGTTTTCCTTCAATAGGTACAGATATGCACGGATAACAATTTAATACGTGATTTTATTGAATACTTGTCTGCGACGCCTGTGTTCGAGGTATCGTGTCCTCAGCCTACAGCGCCGTATTGAAAGCCAGAACTAAGCACTAACGTGTATGTAGAAGAGTATGCTTCGTGAATGCGCACACATCTCTATTTATGTCAGTGTAAGCATGGCAGGCACACATACATGTGCATATCACGTTGAAATTTAACAGAGATGTAGTCGTGATCAGAAAATTCGTCAGATAAAACCTTCACGACACTACAGTAACGTGGTTTAAATTCATAGAGATCGCAAAATAACTAGATGGTCGGTTATCCCCAGATGTAGCCCGCCGCTTATACATACTTGTTCGATGTTGTCAAATCTCTTCCGTTTGGCAATTTGTACCGTATCTCGAGTGCGTAAACACCTCTCTCCGCTGTTAATTGGCTTAGAAGTACTCATTTCCGGACCTGAACAGCAAAATAAGAGAAGTAAAAAGAAGAAGAAAGCTCATTAATTCCTGGTCTCCATTGAGCATCGAGGACGGATACGCTCTATATAAATCGAGCCTTCATATGCTGACCGCACGTAGCTTCGAGACTCCGCAAAGCCATGCGCACCTTGAGGTGTTGGTGATTCATAGTCATTGCCAGGCATAAAATGAACGCTTACGTGTCTACAAACAGATACATACGGTCCTGCACCCATCGTGAACGCAAACTTCTCCGTATATGATAGTACACTTGGATATACAAACTCCTATCAGCCGAGAGGGTACAGCTTGTGGTCGAATTGAATACAAGCTGAGCAGAGCAATCAACATACCTGCGGCTATGGTGGACTGGTGCGCATCCTTGACTTCCACGCCACCGTCCATTTTGGATTGCCTCTTATTGGCCAACCGTCGCTCTCTTAGCTGACTCAGTTTATCCGTGCCCAGCTTCTCTGACAGCGCCGTGAATTGCTTAGGCTTGCCATCCTTACCCAACTCGGCCCCTGTGATAGAGTCTCGCTGCAAGTGTCTTCGCTTATCATCGTCCGCTTTGGCGCTAGGCGTGTCCCGTGTGTCGCCAGAAGGTACCGAACTTCGGCTCTTCTGCGAGCCATCTTGTGCACGAAGCTGCTGTATTTCATCGGCCGACCGTTGCTGTACAATGCCTCCGAAATGGGTCTCGTCAATACTTGAGCTTGTTTCGCTCAACGAGCTCATATATGTCAGAAGCGGCTTCTTATCTTGGAGGGTAACTACGGGAATATTTTTCTTCTTAGATTCCATAAGGTACCTGGACGAGTAGAAAACAGATCAGTATGTAGCTGGTAAAAGTTTCGAGTTGATGACGCTTCATAGATGCCTGAAGACCTCTTCATCTCATCACCCAGACACACACATAACCTCTTCATTTAAATAAAATAACTCCGGAGGCATTAAAACATTACAAGGCACACGTAGCTAACATCTTGCAACCAACGCAAACCCTTATTGTGTAATTTCACTGTCAATACATGCTGGCATCAAATCACGCAGGCATTCAACACACCTGGGATGCGATAGCTCTTTGTTCTCAATAAGGAGCCAGATGGTCTCAAGATTGTAGAACTTGTCATCTTTACCTTTGTAGTTGGTCTCGACCTGTATTGAGGAAATCACAGGCAATGAGAAATGATTGCTGAATTCGAAGCGTGTCGCACTACTACTAATAAATTGACATAGAATCCCTATAATTAAGAATAGAAAGCGCTCTGGTGCGTGAACGCACTGATGAATTTTCACCCAAGTAATCGGCGTGACCAAACGTACAGCTATTTGACAGATAACAATGAGTGGAATTTCAGCATCGATTTGATTGATTCTAAATTTCACAACAAATATAGGCAATCATCATAAAAACGACAAAAGGATAATATACCACGAAGTGCATCTGTGAGGAAAGGAAATCGCGTATGCACGCAAACAAAATCAAGAAATAGAACAACAATCAAAACACAATTAGCGCTCACCTAAAGTGCACAATGGTGAATTCACAGAGTATTAATTAGACATACACGCACACACACACACATATAATATGTATATATATA